GGCAACTAATGCAACAAGGATCTACTAATGTTGTGTACTCTTTTCCTCGACTAGTTTTAACTAGTTTTTATCCCACTGGGTTTTTCTAGCGAGGTTTTTAACGAGGCATTGACATCATGTAGTAATGTCTAAGGGGGAGTGTTGTAAATATAAATACAATGAATGTGGACATTACTAGAAGAAGTCTCTTCACCTACTTGTGACTTTTAGTATTCTCTTCCACATCTATATAATATAATCCATGGAAGACAAAATGTATGAAGAAATGAAGATGAATAAAATGAGATGATCACTTTCTCCCTATCTCTTCTCTTGTCTATTTACATTTACATTTCATGTTCGATTCTTACTTATGATATATGATGTATGTAGATATAATAACAAGATTACAACATCACTTAATTATCATAAATTATTTTTTCAGTAAAAATGACCGCAATTAGTTTGCTGTTAGAAAATTGCTGACGCCGTCAAATTTTTAGCGCAATGACAAATATATCCCTCCTCGTATTAAATTCTACTCAACAATAGAAAATCCCTAAAGCCCTCATTTAATCCCAAGCATAACTCATTTCTTCTTAAATTGCTCGCATTAAAAAAGGAAACTATAAATACAGCATACTTTAAAGGCACAAATCACATATATAATCTAACTCCATTCCCCTCAACACTCAAGCATAAAAAAATATTACAATAAGAGCAACCAACACAAGCTTCAAGTTCATGGAACTGCCATGATTTTTGCCCCTTGAGATCTTCTACCTTCTCCCGCAAATGAGCCTCTATTTTCTAAATTACTCTTCACCTATTCTTATTGTTTCTTTCATTATCAAGGAATTTATTCCCTCTTTCTCCGCCTCCCTCCTTCAATTTCATCTTCTTATCTCTCAATTTCTCTTCTAAATCTATCAATCTCTCTCTACCAACATTGATCATCCGTTCATTAGATACATCATATTCACATAACAACTTTTTAATCACCACTTGAGCTCGGGGGAAAACGACTTATCTTGCCACTAAAATTTTTGCACTTTCCTACCGTGTGATAGTTTGGACAATGGAAAATATTTCCCATAGTTCTTCATTGTCCAAGTCATCTCCATGCTAAAAATCGCCTTGTAACAACAAATTCTAGTCTCCTTCTATTTACCCAAACCATAGGTTGAAGCAGTACTTAACATCCTAGGGCTCGATTTTATGGTCCTGTAATTAAATTAGAATGATGGATTGTGAATTTGGTGGTTACAGAATTGAAATTTTAATCGGAGAATTTTTAAAGAGAGGAGGGGTACGTAGGAATAGCAAATAGACAAATAAATGAGATTAAGTGTAACTTAAATGTGTCATGTGAGAACCACATGAGATTATCCTTTGGAATATTTCCAGGTGTGACTTACAGAAGGTACCATCTTGACTAACGGCGAAAAACTTATGATACTTTTGTAAAACCCTGTACATTTTGATAATTTATATATGTGATTATTAGTGAAAAATAATGTTTATTTATGATACATTTTGATAATTTATATATGTGATTATTAGTGAAAAATAATGTTTATTTATGATAAATGTCTTTATGTCATGGTTGTGCATGATAACTAGTGTTTTGAGTTTATGTGAATGTATATATGCATCAGGTTTTGAGGTTGAGTTTTGCAAATTTGCAAATCATGCACAGGCAGAAATGTAGCCTGTTCGGTCGACCGCGAGTCGATTGATGGGTTCGGTCGACCCTGAGTCGACTGATGGCTGATTTCTGTGGTTTCCAGTTTGGGTCTGTTTGGGATTTCTGTTTGCGTCAAAAGTTGGTTTTGTTATGGAATTCATTATATCTTCGGTCGATTACAACAAATTCAAAAGAAATAGCCTTTTTATAAGACTTCTTTTACACAACAAAAGAAAAATTACAACTTTTTAGAAACAAACGCAGGATCGTTGTTTGGATCGCTGCTTGCGTGGGATCTTTGCCTGTGCCGGGAGCGCTTTGACTCGTGGACCACCAAATCACAGATTCTGATTGAACCGTGAGGTGAGAGTCGTCAGATTGTAACTCCCGATGTTGATTGTGGAGGCTGTTGATTAGAGCTTTCATCAATTATTGCAAAGGTCGTCAGATTGTAACCTTCATCGATCTACGTGAAAGTCTTCAAATTGTAGCTTTCTGGAAGTCGTCAGATTGTAACTTCCATCATCGGTGTTTAATGGGGAATCAGCTATCTATTGTGATTTTTAGACAGCCTATAATTTTAAGCTCAAAATAGTTGCAATTTTGACTTATTTCAAATTTTCATAAACTAAGAACGCAAACAAATGTGCATATGAATGTCGTATTGCTGAAATAGTTGCAACCATTTATTAGTTACTGTTGGATAGGGAATTCCTAATCTATTTCGGTAATAGGTTATTAGGATTCCTAATTTGATTTAGTTTTGGTTTAGAATTCCTAGTATGTTTATGATTTTAGGATTTCTATATATATGGAACAATTAGAAGAGAGAATTAGTGGAGAAGAAAAATTGGGGATATTTGGAGCATAGAAAAGAGGTATTTTCTGAGCTATTTGTTTAGGGTTTTGTTTGGAGAGATTAAGAGCTTGTTGGTGAGATTAGTTTGTTCCTTCGAGTGATTTGTAATCTCAGTTTGTACTCTTTCTCTATTAGTGAAAACCACATCCCCTTCTTGTCCCGTGGACGTAGGCAATTACCGAACCACGTAAATCTCTTGTGTTAATTGGTGATTGTGCTTGTTTATTTGATTGTGATCTCTCTTGTTTGGATTGTGTGATTCGACCGCTTCCGCGTCGTGCACAACAATTGGTATCAGAGCTCGGGCTACGCTTGGGCTATTTGGAGGAGTAGATCAATTTGGAAGTTCGACTAGGGCTTCGTTTGGTGAGAAAGGTGAGATCTTTTTGGTAAAGACTCTATCTTTTTTAGTTTGGATCTATTCTTTGTTTGTTCCGCATTGGTTTGTTGGCGCTTGGGCTATTTGGAGGAGTAGATCGCTTTGGAGGCTCGTCGAGGGCTTCGTTTGGAGATAAAGGTGAGATTTTTCCTATTTGTGGATCCCGTTGCCGTCGTGCGGGGTGAGATCGTTTGGAGACTCTTGTTAGGGTTTCATTTAGAGGTAAAATTCTCTCATTTATCAGTTTGGATCTATTCTTCATTTGTTGGTGCTTTGAGATAGTTGGCCGAGATAGAATGATTTGAGGCTAGGTTATTTGTTTGTTGATACGGTGCATTGGATTATTGAGAAGTGCCATTGACCTGCATATTGAAGTTATTTTGAGCACATTGGTATGAGCAAGGAGACCGATGTGGAGTTTGACACTTCTATTTGATGATTCAGGGGTCTTCTATTTGGTGTTCATTCAGGCATTCGGGGGCCTTCCAATGAGGCATCATTGGAAGGTAAATTGGTATTTTGGTTTCCTATGTTAGGGATTATACTAGGCATTTATCGGTTGTAACCAAATCCCGTTGGTTTTGAAGTCCTAGTAGTCAACAACAGTTGAAGAAGTGTATTGGGAGTAAGGTGAATGTACTTCATTCTGGTTGTAAAAGGAGGTACAAGAGGGACCTACTGTATTTGTGCCGAGCTCATGGCAGTTTGAGATACTTCATTGGTGTGGAAACTTTGAGGCGACAAGGCGAGATGGCAGATTTGGGTAGCTGTTCCTTTCTGGAGGAGGATCGGCGTTTGATGTCGAGCATTAGCATTGGTGTGCAGGCTACGACATGTTTGGGCCGTCTCATGTACAGGTTGCCAACTGCTGCATGTATAGATATGGGATCTGGTGGAGCTGCTTTAGATTTTGGGTTACGTCGGATGTTTGGCTACCCAGCACTCGGTCACATCGTGGATGTGAGATTTGATCCGATAGCACATTTGAGATTCAGAGGCGTGTTTGATTATCAGGTATTGGCTTCTGACTTTGTTCTGAGCAGGTATGTCACGTTTGACTCTCGGTAGGTGGAGAGTGATGATCAGATCTTTGGGACATCGTAGCGGGTGGAGAGTGATGCTACTCCACATTGGGAGAAAACTCCAGATCATACTGCATCATTTGGGATTCCAGCTGATGTGATATAGATTGGGAATCGTGTTGATTTGGATGCAGATGATAGGTTGATTGATTCGAGTACAGCTGATGGATATAGTCTGGATATGGCCATTGGTTCATCTCAGGTGGAGATGTTTGGATTATTTCAGTTTGGAGCCATTGGAGGTGCTATCAGCCGCAGACTTGATCGTGATATTGGAGAAGGGTTGCGAACTCTTCTAGTGAATTGAGGCCTTTGGAGGCTATTTGGGTGAACTACGTGAAGGCTTGATTCCTTGGGCAAGAGGATACGTAGGCAGTCAGTTTTGATGCAGCCGATTTGGTGAGTAGATACCGACGTTTGGGTGAGTGTTCGCACTCCCGTTTGGGTCTCGACTTGTTATGGATTGAGTCCGTTATTGTGGATCGTTTTACTTCGTACTGGACGCAACAAGTGAGGCATTTGGTTTGGTCGGTGTCGGCTTAGTTTTGGGAAAACTTCGCCGAGGTGGAGAATTGTTGGATAGGGAATTCCTAATCTATTTTGGTAATAGGTTATTAGGATTCCTAATTTGATTTGGTTTTGGTTTAGAATTCCTAGTATGTTTATGATTTTAGGATTTCTATATATATAGAACAATTGGAAGAGAAAATTGGTAGAGAAGAAAAATTGGGGATATTTGGAGCACAGAAAAGAGGTATTTTCTGAGCTATTTGTTTAGGGTTTTGTTTGGAGAGATTAAGAGCTTGTTGGTGAGATTAGTTTGTTCCTTCGAGTGATTTGTAATCTCAATTTGTACTCTTTAATTATAAATTACTCAAAATGTCCCAATTGTGTACACCTAAGCAGCTGTAGTCCCTGCACTTGCAGCAAACAAGAAATTAGATTTAGCCTGCCTAACAAGAAGGGGGGGTGGGGGGGGATTAACATTTCAAGTAAATTAAGTTTTTTCCCGCATTCAAAAATCATTTATTCCTTTGGATTTCACATAAAAAGAGACCATCTCTCAAACACACTTATCATCATAAATCAATCTCAATCAATAGTGAGCCCCTTCTCTTTGGTCTTCTGAAGCCACTGAGCAAAGACATTAGCAGTCTGGGTATCAGCTCTGTGATGTTTCTGAGTGAATTCCTCCATCGCCGCCCATGTGAAGTCAGGGTAAGCTCTCGGGTGCTCAGCGTCAATGAGTGACTCTGGTGGCCGCACGATCTTATCCTTCTTCGGGCACAGAAAGAACACCAGCGACTTTCTTGCTGACATGTTGTTCACCACGGCTCTGTGCAAGCAGCTCTTGTACATCTTGTTCGTCAGTGCCTGTTTTACGAATCGTTTATATACGTAGTATCCATTAGCCATCAACTTAAAACTTCAAGATCACATAATAAAGTATATATTCCAAATCTATATTTTATCTTATTTCCTATTTTTTTTCACTACAGATGAATCATAAAGTTTATTAAATAATTAATAGTTGCTTTTGAAGAAGATTGTTTCGCGACAATGAAAAGGGCATAAATACAAAACACATTTATCTGGTTGCACAATAAAGATTATAAAACAAACTAATGCTCCATTTTTTTTTATCTAATGCTCCATTGGATTTAACAAAAAACTATCAATATTATTTTACATTAGTTTTTAAAAATATTATTTATTATATTATTTAATATCACGTATTTCTCTCAAATTCAATAAATCTAAAGCGTCAACTCGATAAGAATAATTTGATATCAAAACATGAGCGTTCTCGAATAAGGATAGTTTGATATCAAAAACCTGATAACAGAAGGGAAGTTGTCTAATTTAAATTTTTACCCGCTATTATTTTACCACTAGAGAAATTACTTCCTCAAATCACGATAGCAGATAACATTTAAATGGTTATGATTTTTTAAAACTAGGATTTATACACGTGCAATGCACGTGGTTAGATATCATGATTAATTATTTTTGGCTTATTTCTTAGCTAAAATTTATTTCTCGGGTCCACTTTAATAGTTTATGCTCACTTTTGTCTCTGAACTTTAACATTGCGATTATTAATTTTCTTTGATGTTTGTTTAAATGAGTTATAGCTAATTTAAATTTTCATGTTGATATTTGAATTGATAGAAATAGATATAATCTGAAGCTAATTTAAATTTTCATATTATTTGGACTGACATAAAACCATGCTTTACTTGAGAAAGTACAGTGTTGCAAAAGAAAAAATATTGGAATAATATTATACAAGAAAGGTGAATATCTAAAACTAATAAGGCAATATGATTGATTAAAAGTATGTTAAAACGATACAAAAGAAAATATAAAATTTATTCTTAATCATTAATAGACTTCATAAAAATTATAAACTAAATATTAATGCTAACTCTAGTATACTTTTATATGATAAACGCATCCACATAAGCATATAAAAGTATTGAAAAGGGTTCATCAAACTCCATTCTAAAGATTTCTACTTTAACTCAAAACAATTAAATTATTCTATAAAACATACAAAAAATATTGTTTTTTATTCCTTCTTCTTTTTTTTTTTTTTTTGAGCTAAGATCAATCCTTATTCACCTTTATCTTTTTCCTGGGCAATTTTAGAATAGTATCTTCATCATCTATAATAAGATTAGGAACTACCTCTTTTTCCTCTACAATGAATTCTTCTAATGTGCATCCAAAAAGAGTTTCTATTATACCGATAATGTTACCTTTGCTCTATCTCGTCATTTTTTACAAAAATCTAAACTAAATACATTAATTTTTTATTACCAATTTGCCTTAGATTATAATATTAATATTTAATTTTAATAGTATTTGAATAACAAAGTATGAAATTTATGAATACTTACTAATTTTCTTATATCTTTTATGGAGAATTCTTCTTTGATTGAGATAAAGTTATTAAATTATTCTTCAATGGAACTCAATCGGTGTTTTTTTTTATTAATTTCTGTAACTTTCTCATCTGCAATAGAAATAGCTTGATTCTTTTAAATGATATCTCTCAACATTCTGATAGTTTCTACATATATAATTCCTTGCATTACCCTATAAATATTATTAATATCAGAGATTAATGTTTCTAAATTATAATCAATCGATGCTAAGCTATTATATTATAGTCTTTTATCTTTTTTATGGATTTAAACATCTATCAATTAATATTACTAATGTATTTTTACTGCTCCAACTTATTAGTAAAATTACATACAATTACTTTGATTTATATAGTAAAAATAATTTTAAAGCTATCATATATTTTTAAATTATTATTCCTTAACCGAATATTTTTGATTAGCTCTTGCTTTTTTTTACCAACATTAATTTAAACTACTTTTAGATGCTAAAAATGGATAGTAAACCCTAAATTTCAAATTATATATATATATTTGACAAGTTTTAAAATTTAAGCCTTTTTGTGGTTTTAAACTTTAAGGGTGGTTTGTAATTTTTAAAACTTTAGGAGTATTATTAAAAAAAATACTTTTAATTTGGCAGTTATAACTTCTATGTTTCATGTATCGGTGATAATTTTTAAATGTTAAAATATTTCTTACAACTCTAAAAATTTAAGGGTTCTTTTTGTAATTATTAAAATTGTACATTAATTTTTAAAAACTCAAATATCAACGGTCTGCCAATAATTTCTAGATTTAATGTGCACTTGTCATAAATTTTAGAATTTTTTTACAATTTTTAAATTTTGAACAAGTCTTTTGTTGTAATTTTTGTAATTTTAAGGTTAATTTTAGTAAATTTTAAATTTTTTGGTGCATAAAGGTAATCTCTTGAATTTATCTTTTGTTGTTTGCAAATTTTAAAAGTTTAGAATTTTATGGTGGTTTTTTATAATTTAAACTTTTGAGAGTATTTCTATAATTTTTGAGACATTGAAGGTGTTAACTGAAAATTTTAAATTCTTCAGAGGCTGCTATTAATTTCTTAATTTTATGTTTGTTGTTCTAAGTTTGAAATGTTAAAATTTTCAGGGGTATCATGGTAATCCCTTGAATTCATTTATGTTGTTTGAAAGTTTTAAAATTTAGAATTTCAGTGTGCTTATTTGTAATTTAAAATTTTGAATGTTTTTCTATAATTTTTGAGACATTCAAGTGTTAACCAAAAATTTTAATTTCTTCATAGATTACTATTAATTTCTTGATTAATATTTGTTGTTTTAAGTTTTGAAACGTCAGGATGTTTTTTATAGTTTTAAACTTTTCAGGGTACTTTGTGCAATTTTAAAACTTTTTAGATTTTTCTATAATACTTCATATATTATAGTATATTAGCTACATACAATTTCTTTATCTTAACAAACTAATACCGTAAAGATGTTTTATATATTTTTTTAATATTATTTTTTAAATTGTTGAGCTATAGATAGTTCACGTAGAATTAGGATATGATATAATTATAATTAGGATATATTAAGATATATATGAAATATTCAAAATAGTGAAGGGTAATATTGACCATGAAAATTATAATTAGGATATATTAAGATATATATGAAATATTCAAAATAGTGAAGGGTAATATTGACCATGAAAAGATTTTTCCGAACTCGTACTTTTAAAAGGAGTATGATATAATTAACATAACATCTTGTTTATTGATTAGTCTCATCTATTTTTTATCCAAGACGATTACCCATTAAATTACAGATGGACATAACATGAGAATGAAGTGGCAGAGCAATGATATTGTCCCGTTCTTATACAATTTATCATGATTGTACTTGAATCTATATTGGCAAGTTTATAGATTTATCCATTTTCTAGGTGTCTTGTCCTATTTGTAGTGGTGCCCTAAGCAGTAAATATAAGAAAAATAAATAAACAAATGTATAAATTAAAGTATCCTCTGATGTCGCTAGGTAATATGCGGCGGCGCGCGTCAACTGTTAGAATGTAATCTCTCTAAACATCTAACCATATATGAACGTAACGGGCAAAAAAATAAAACGAATGAGGCTTACCATGAACGTGTCTCCTATGTTGATGACAAAGGTGTCAGGCTTAGGGCTGACGGTGTACCACTTGCCATCAACATGAACTTGAAGTCCAGTGATCTCATCTTGGTGCAAAATGGTGATTGAGGTCGGATCATAGTGGGGCCCGGTTCCAAGAGTGAGGTCTGGCTTTGGGCAAGATGGGTAGTAATTAACCCTAAAGATGGAGTCATTGTCAGAATAAAAGTCCCTGAACCAGCGACCAACACCAAGGCTCAACCCCAATACCTCCAATATCTCCAAAACAAGCTTATTCATTGCGTCCAAATAGTTCTGCAACACATTCCTGCATGAGAACCCTAGAGAAATTAGAATCATATTAGTTTCAAATAAATACCATGAATTTTAAATTTTAGGACAGTTTGTGTTGTCTGCTATAATTTCATCAAATTAGATAAACTTATAATATTGTAGTTTCGTTAGGGGGAAAAAACAATAGTTCATATGGACACGAATGACTTACTTTTAGGAAAATTTGAGTTAGACCACTATTTTCCATTGATATTTCTAATGCAAATTAGGAATAGACGCAATACATGACGGTATAGTGGGTGTTAGATTTAGAGTGTATCATAATCACCCGTTAGATAATCAACGATTGAGACTAAAAGTAGCAGTCTCTCCATTATTTTTTATAGTGAAAATGATCCAAATTTAAAGCGTTTTGTATCGAGTTAATTTGTGAGAAACCCTGAATCAAAAACAAAAAATTCCAAATCCTTTTGAAACATTTTTGCATGGTTTAAATTATCGAATTGGTAATTTTAATAGGACACACACTTTTCAATTTGTTTTTTTAATTTCTCATGCGGCATTAAGATATTGACACCGAATTTTAGCGGCAATAAAAACACCAAATTAGAAAGTTTATTCTATCAAAACTGGATTTGGATCCTTTCTACTATAAAAAAAAGTAGCGGAAAGACCACTACTTTATTAGAATTATTAATTGCTTAATTGATGGTTATGATTTGTCTTTGAGAGTAAATAAGGTATGAGTGCAGACTGTGCAGTACATTGGGTTATGTTGGGATTCGGATCCTCTCGACTATAAAAAAATAGTGGATGGACCACTACATAATCACAGTCATTGATTATCTAGTTGATGGTTATGATTTTTTCTTTTAGTGCAAATTATAATCACAGTCATTGATTATCTAGTTGATGGTTATGATTTTTTCTTTTAGTGCAAATTAGGAATGAGTGCAATACACTAGTTGATGGTTATGATTTTTTCTTTTAGTGCAAATTAGGAATGAGTGCAATACACGGGGGTGTGGTAAATGTTAGATTTAGATTGTATCATAACCGCCTACTAAATAATCAACGTTTGAGATTAAAAGTAGTGGTCTCTCCACTACTTTTTTGTAGTGGAGATGATCCAAATCCGTTATGTTGAGTGTTAAATTTAGAATAAAATTCACAAAATAATCGAAGGTTAGTATATAAAGTAACGGCCTCTCCACTACTTTTTTGTAATGGAGAGATTCCAATTTCACTAGAAAAAAGTACTTATGTCCTACTACAAACATAAATCTGGTCATTTTTCTTGCCCCATGAATAAAAAATTAATGTGAGTCGTGGTAATATTTCGTATACTAAGTATATGTTCTGATAAAATTTATACTAAAAACAAAATTACCCAAAAGTATTTAATACATAGAATACATACCCATACTGTTGGAAGCCATCACCCAAAGTCTTGACCATATACTCCTCAGCGGCATTAGTAGGGATCGTCAACGTCTCCTTCCACGGCAAATTAGAAGTAAACCTCCCAGTAAGACTACTCGCATACCCAAATATCTCTCCAACATTTCTTTTAGCCCTCTCCTTCTCCTCCAAACTCATCGTAAAGAACTCCTCCGTCCTTCTCTGAGCCTCTTCCAACAAACCCTTATCAATCCCATGGTTGGTAACCTGGAAGAACCCGTGCTTGGAGCACGCTTCTCCAACTTGCTTGGCGATCTCAAGGGCAGTTTCGGCATTTCCGGAAAAAAAACAGGCGAGATCGGTTACAGGGAGGTCGAGCTCGTCGACGGAGTCGGTGGTCGGTCGGTCCTCCTCGGACCAGATGAGATCGGCGGGGATGTCATGCTTGCGGCTGAGGATGGCCGCGTCAAACACAAATGGCTGCATTGTTTGAGTTTCCATTAGTAAACAATGAGACTGGGAGAGAGAGCAATGATTTCTTTTTTTTGTGTGTGTGTGAAGAGATGTGAAGAAGAATGAGGGTTAAATAGAGGTGGGAGAGTGAATCTTGGGTTATATAGAGGGGAGAGAGCGAATCTTGGAAGCTTCACTAGTAGAAAAACCATTAATTTAGACGGAACAACCTAGACGGAAAAAAATTCTGTCTAAGTTGAATCAAACTAAACGGAAATTTTCCGTCTAGGTTGTTCCGTCTAGTTTGACAAACTAGATGAAAATGTCAACCTAGACGGAATTCCGTCTAGGTTGTGCTTAAAATCAAATATACGACGCGAATTCCCGCTCTCACAGCGTACGGCCCTAAGGAACATCCTAAAACCCACCCCCTCGCCCGAACCGTCGCCACCACGCGGTCAATCTCTCACAGTCCTCAAATGCTCCCCTCTCCTCTCCTCTCACTCCCTCCTCTGACCTCCCACCCCTTCCAGCTCACTCCCCTCGCCCCCCACCTAGCGCTCCCCCTATCCCTTCCCTCATGCCTCCCCCCTCCTTAGACACCCTCCCCTCCTCCCCCCTCATCTAGCCGCCCCTCCTTACCCCCTTCTCCCACCCTCTCACCGTTAGCCCGTCACCGCACCCCAGCCTCGCCCTCCCATCCCCAGCCTGCCCGTCCCGCTCCTTGGCCGCCTCTCCTCTCCCGCTCATTTGTCCCACCCCCGTCCGCCCGTCAACCTCTTCCCTCCGCGGAACCCCTCGACCACCCCCTTACCTTCCCTTCCCCTTCCCTCACTTCACCTGCCGCTAAACAACCTCACCCCCTCATCCGTCCCCGTTCCCTAGCCGCCCCCTTCACTTTAATTAAAAAAAATCCTAGCTTTCCAGCAGTCCAACCGTGACCACCGGCGCGTCCGTTGTTTAATATGCTTAAAAGGTATGATTTTTCTACTGAGCTTTAAAATTTTTAATTTTATTATTATTTATTATTGAATTTAGTTTAAAACCCCTAATTTATGATAAAAATAAACGAGTTCAATTCTTAAAACCCTAATTAAAAAATATTAGTTATGAATTAACCCTAACTCAACTACATGTCAATTCATTTGAACAACACTAGTAATCATAAATTTAATTAAACACTTATAAATCCTAACCCAATTAAGTTTCATTCGTGCTATAAGTGGGTGTGATTATTTAAGTTTATGATGTGAAAATATGTGAAATAAAAAAAAATAAAAATAGAGTGATATATAACACATTATAATTTTTCATAATGTGTAATAATCCAATTTAGGTGAACGGAAAAATAACGTTATCCCTAGACTTCTGTCCAATAATTACGTCCAATTCTTTGGACTTATAATATATGATATACGACTCAGATTTGGGTATGAGATGAAGTTTTCTCCTAGAAATGAGCATTTATTTTATATTATATGAATAAAGAATTAGTATTAAAATTCATAATTATTGGATCTATCCTTCTCGGACGGGTTAGGAATATAGTAGTGCATACATCTAATTTTGTATATTTTCATTCTTGAAAGTTTTGGCAACACGTATTCATTATTCTCCGTGTACAATAAGCATACGTTGTTCTGCGTTTTGAGCTATTGCTAATATGCATAATAACATCCGTACAGTGTACAAGGAGAACAGCAGGTAGGTGCTGTCAAAATTTTTAAGAAATGAAAATATATAAAGTATACAAAGTTGGATGTAAGCACTACTATATTCTTAATGGATGGAAGCCTTCCTATGACATCCGCTAGATTAGTATATATTATGTAGATAAATATTCATATTGTTAAATAATATATGAACGTAAGTTTGATGTGTGTTGAATGTATAAGATTCATGGATGTACTAGTAGTTGTGAGATTAATCATAGTTAATAATTATATATAATTTACAGATGAGGATAATTCCTGACAAATCATAGATAGATATCACATGGCTTCATAGATTTCGTGACACACGATACAAGGAGGGATGTGACGCCTTCATGCGTTATGCTGAAATAAATTCGAGAAATTTAAGAAGTGGTGATGTGTATTGTTCTTGTTGTAGGTGTAGGAATATAAAGCTGCTGAATAGAAATGATATATGGATCTACCTAATGAAATCAGGTTTTGATGAAAAATATAAATATTGAAACTGACATGGGGAAGGTATCACTGAAGATGAGGATCCAAATATGTGTGTTGGTACGTCCGGTGGCCAACGAATAGATGACACAGAAACAATTTTGAATGATATTTTTCCTCGACCTAAAGAATATAATGTTGATGATAATGTCGAGGATGATATCGAAAATAAAAGTGAAGATGATATCGAAGTTGAAGCTGAAGAGGTAGAAGATGTCGAAAGTACTGAAAATATTGATAATATGTATTCCTTCGCAGAAATAAAACGAATAATGGAGCTACTAGAAGATAGTAAAAATAACTTATATGAGGGACGTACCGAGTACTCCAGATTTTCATTTATGCTAAAACTCCTACAAATTAAGACACTTAGTGGTATATCAGATAATTATTTTGAAATGTTTCTTGATTTGCTTCAGACTGTAATTCCTGGAGGAGAGAATAGCATACTCAAACAACTTATCAAGCTGAGAAGATTATCTCCACTCTGGGTCTTGATTATAATAAGATTGATGCATATCCGAATGATTATATTGTGTACCACAAAGCTAATAAATACCTTCAAGAGTGTCCGACATGTGGAGTTTCTAGGTGGAAGCAACGCATAAATTCTTCAACAATGATTACAACGGAGACAGGGATAACACAGAAGAAAATTCCAGCCAAGGTGCTTCAACATTTTCCATTGGCTCCTAGATTGCGGAGATTGTACATGAACAAGGAAACGACAAAGAATATAAGGTGGCATAAGGAAGATCAAGTAGATGATGGTAAATTAAGACATCCTGCTAATGCTTTAGCTTGGAAGCATGTTAATAAAATTTATCCTTGTTTTGTTGAAGATTGTAGAAATGTAAGACTGGGTCTATCAAGTGACGGATTCAATCCATTTAGGGTAATGAACTCTAGCTGGTCTACATGGCCAGTTTTATTAATACCATATAATTTACCTCCATTGCTTTGTATGAAACAGCCGTTTATGATACTTTCATTACTGATACTCGGTAAACATGCACTGATATTGATGTCTACTTAGAGCCTCTAATTGATAAGCTAAAACAATTATGTCTGAGGGTATTTTAGCATATGATAAACATTTAAAAGAGTCGTTTAGATTATGTGCTATTCTATTATGGTCGGTTAATGATTTTTCAGCTTATGCTAATCTGTCCAGGTACCCTAAGAAGGGTAAGTCTACTTGTCCTGTATGTGGTCCGGAATTTAAAGCTCTTCAATTATCACATAGTCGAAAGAGTTGTTATTGGTTTAATCGAAGGTGGTTACCCTTAAGTCATAAGTACAGCAAATTATCAGCTATATTTGATGGCACAGTTGAGAAGAGAATGAAGTCGCGTCAGCTGACAGGTAATGAGATCGTAAAATTACTTGAGGGGTTTCCAAAACTTGTGTTTGGAAAAAATTGTTATTCTAAATTTAACCTGTTCGGAATAAGAGATTACTTAAAATCAAAAAATCTATTGAACCGTAAGTGAAAGGTCCGAAAAATGCAAGTTGAGGACGAAGCTAAAAAATTACCTAGAGGATGAACTAAATTTAGTATCTTCTTTCAGCTACCTTACTGGAAAAATCTTAAAATCTGACATAACTTAGATGTCATGCATATTGAGAAAAGTATATGTGATAATATAGTATCAACTCTCCTACAAGATGTAAACAAGTCGAAGGATGACCTACGGGCGCGCCAAGTTCTGACTGCTTTGAATATCTGAAATGATTTGCAAGCTCAAGATGTTGGCCTTAAAAAATTAAAGTTGCCTCCGTCTCGTGTTATAATATCAAATGAGTTGATACAACGATTTTGTGAAATTCTCAAATCAGTAAAGTTGTTGGACAATTACTCTGCTAACATTTCAAATAATGTCCAGGTGCAAGAGAGAAAACTCTTAGGTCTAAAGACTCATGATTATCACGTTCTTCTCCATCAATTACTCTATGTTGTAATCCGTAATAATATGAAGAAAGAAGCGTCAAAGATTATTATTAAGTATTGTGGATTCTTTAAAAAATTATGCTCTAAAGTCATAGATGTAGATGAATTTAAAAAACTTTAAGCCGAGGTCCGAGTTACTCTATGCAATATGGAAGTAATGTTCCCTCCTTTAATTTTTACAATTATGGTCCATCTTACCCAACATCTTGTAAAAGAGGCTAGAATCATCGGTCCTGTTACTTATCGTTGGATGTATCCAATTGAAAGGTAATTTACGATTTTTGTTACATTCATTAATTGTATATGCTCTTTAAAATTATCGTGCTAATAATTAATTCTTCTTATGATTCTAAGATACTTGAGCTCCATAAAACACAATGTTCGCAATCGAGCTCGTCCTGTGGGCTCGATAGCTGAAGGATACGTGGCTAACAAATGCTTTGTGTTTGCATCATGTTACATGTGCAAGAAAAAAAACCACATCTCAAGTACCTGATAAGGAGAGGAAGCGTGAAAAATATTCGAGATCTCTCTTAGATCAAATTCATGCATATGTGTTGGAAAACCTTAATATGTTCGCAAACTATCGAAGGTAACAAATAAAATCAGTAATATAGATGAGAAATATTTATTTTACATATAGTTTACCAATACAAACTTATATATTATTTATATAGGCGGCATCTGGAGAAGCTTAAGAATGAAACAACCGGTAGGAATGCAGCGCATGATATTCAGAAAAGACATAAGAAAGAATTTTCTGATTGGTTAAGAATTAATGTAAGTATTTTAAAACTAATTATTGAACATTCATAATATAACATCACCTAAATATTCTCAAATTGTTTGGCTTAGGTTGAAAAATCACTTCTTGATGGTACAATGTT